AAGTTTTTTGAAAAATTGCAAATAGATGTTTTTTATTTTTGTACAATTCATATTTCACAAAAAAATGCACAAAGAAGGGCAATTATAGATACCTTATTTTGTCCGGAGATTTTTCGAAATTCATTGGCTTCTAATATTGATTTTGATTTTGCAATTAGACCTTAATTGAAAAAGTGATTTTTTGCCTAAAGATTAAGCCCTAAATTTTATTTGTATTTTAATTTTTTTTTTAGTTTAATTTTTATTTTTTTGGTGAAAAAAGTCAAAATCAATTGGTAAAAAATATAAAAAGGGCAAAAAGAAAAAGAAAAAAATGTGAGATTTTGCATAGAAAATCTTCAATTCAATTCAATTCTTAGATTCTATTTTAGATTTTAACTTTAATGATTGACTAATTTTGGAAAGATTTGGGGCCTACTCTATTAAAAAATGGTAGATTATACAAAGAATAAAATTTAAAAAGAAATCTTAGATTCGAGAATTAATTTCTTCCAAATCGAAAGGAATTCAATTCTTATATAAGGACCTTGAATTTGTGATTAAAGGGATGGCCTCATAGCAATTTGTTTCAAGATCAAACAGAGGTCATTGAAAAGAGAAAAATTTAGACAAAATTTTAAATCAACAAGGAAGAAACAATCAAGCAAAAAATTGTAAAAAGATTCGATTGAAGTTTTTCAAAAATTTGCAAATAGATTTTTTTTATTTTTGTACAATTCCTATTTCACAAAAAATGTACAAAAAAGGGCAATTATAGGTACCATATTTTGTCCGGAGATTTTTCAAAAATTCATTGGCTTCTAATATTGATTTTGATTTTGCAATTGGACCTTAATTGGAAATGTGAATTTTTGCCTAAAGATTAAGCCTTAAATTTTATTTGTATTTTAATTTTTTTTAGTTTAACTTTTGGTTTAATTTTTATTTTTTTAGTGAAGAAAGTCAAAATCAATTGGTAAAAAAAATAAAAAGGGTAAAAAGAAAAAGAAAAAAATGTGAGATTTTGCATGAAAAATCTTGAATTCAATTCAATTCTTAGATTCTATCTCAGATTTTAACTTTAATGATTGACTAATTTTGGAAAGATTTTGGGCCCGTTCTATTAAAAAATGGTAGATTGCACAAAGAATAAAATTTAAAAAGAGATCTTAGATTCGGGAATTAATTTCTTCCAAATCGAAAGGAATTTAATTCCTATATAAAGACCTTGAATCTGTGATTAAAGGGATGGCATTATAGCAATTCGTTTCAAGATCAAACAGAGGTCATTGAAAAGAGAAAAATTTAGACAAAATTTTGAATCAACAAGGAAGAAACAATCAAGCGAAAAATTGCAAAAATATTCGATTGATGTTTTTCGAAAGAATGCTAAAATTTATATTAGGAAGTATCAATTTTTGAAAGGTGAAAAGTTGTTGAAACACGTGATTCATTGAGGTAATGTTTGCTTTCATTTTTTTTTGGTGATTTTTGCATAACTTTTACAATATTTAATTGCTTACTTTTATTTTTATATTTATTACATAGTATTTATTTTTGCATGACTAATATTATATTTGCAGATAATTTATTTCCCTAATATATTTAATTGCATAATTTATTAATTTAATTGCACAATTATTAATATATTTATTTGCATGATTTCCTAATATATTTATGTGTGTAATTGCATGTTATTAATATATTTATTTGCATTATTTATTTAATTGTATGATTATATTTAATTTGATTGCATGATTGTTAATATATTTATTTGTATGATTATATTTTATTGTATGATTATTAATATATTTATTTGTGTGATTATATTTGATTGCATGATTATATATATTTGCATAAATTATTTTTATGTTATTATTTTATTACATGATCATTAATATTATTGCATAATAATTTTTGCTTGGTATGATTTTATATTATTGCATGATTTATTACATAGTATGATATTATATTATTGCATGATTTATTGCATGATATAATTTTATATTATTGCATGATATGATTTAATATTTATTGCATAATTCATGACTGCTTGACATTTTGATAGAATTTTTCTATCACCATGTTTTATAAATAAATAAAAAGATTGAAATTGATTTATTTGCATGATAAAATCATTTTTTATTAAGGCTAAAGCAATATAACATATAATTAATTTGATATAAATTTTAGACTTAAAAGGGGTATTAATACATTTCTTATACGTAACCGACTTTCGAACTTTAGTTTTATTGATATAAATCATAATATATTTTTTTAGGGACACTTAATTTAAGTTTAAAATAACTCTACTAATAATAGATTTATATAAGTGACCAATCATACCTAGATAAAAAATTAGTGACAACTTCATGATTTTTATGTCTAATAGATAGATTTTTTCAATCTAAATGTTATGACATAATTGATGAAATAATTTTTTTTATGTATGGTTTAAACTTTTATTTTCACTATTGAAGATTGATTAACCCATCAATTGCATTGCAAGCCTTATCTTCGATACAAAATTTAGGTATATATCTCTATAGCATGACAAAAATCATAGCTAAACTCAATAGTCAATCTATAATCATTTTAAGGGCCTGTAGGTGACATTTAAGGACCTAATTCGTTCCTTTTTTTAGGTTTCAATTTCTGATATGATAAAAAAGTAACTAATAATTATTTTTTGTATATATTGCGTGCAATGATGAACAATGGTACTAGACCATATCTATTGGGGTTTTCACCCCACGCAAAATATGAGAGCCCTGCACGACTAGGGTTTTAAAGTCAAGGCAGTTTTGCTTGCATGCATGACCACTTTGGAATTTAATCTTAGAATACACTGACGTAGCCATTTAAGTAATTTGATGAAATTTTAAATTTTTGATGGAGATAAATCAGAATGGTTAGGCGTACAAATTCAAAATCTGCATTGTTGATTCAGTATCTACATGTCATTTGGTAATGTGAAAATCCTGTCTTAAAAGTTAAAAACTTCGGCTCTGATAATATCTAACCACTGCCCACCACCCATCGGGCCATTAGTGCCACTATCTGCATCTGCATTTTAAGCATTTCAACCACCAAACAATTTCAAACAAAAGAAATATTCACCATTTTGTTAAGGTGGAATTGAACTATTTGAAGCCTTTTAACTTTAAGCCCAAGACGGCTGCCAAGGGATTTTACGTTGTTGCCTGTTGGATGAAACTCGAGTATTTTGTTTGCTGAAGTTTATGGGCCAGGACCAGGAGCAGTACAGAAATTAGGTAGCCGATTGGTCAGTCCATTTATGAATCCTCTTATTTATTTAAAGGTAAAGCAAAATGGTGAAAGCAGCCGAATAGCTTCAAGATGTCATATATTTATTACAAGTGTGATTTATTCTTTGTAAATGACATGCTACTATTTTTTTTATAAAGAAAGAGTCAAATCGAAACAGAAATAGTAGTTTATTTAATAAGTTAAGAATAGTATATATCATTGGCAGAAAGTTAGCATTTAAGGAGACAAGATGGGATTAGAATCTTCATTTACTCTCCACATTGAACCTAAGCCTAGTCTTTTTTTACATAAGCTAATGGAGTGGTTTCAAATGTCAACATCGGGATAGAAACAATTGGACCACATATGAGCCACGTTACGAGACATTGTAGGACTTTGAAATGTTGGGCCTGGTTAAGATTCGTTCAATTCTCAGGGGTCAATCAACGTCCAATCCTTGGGCCTACGCTTCTTTTTTTTGTTGTACAAAATGAACCCGAGTTTGATGAAGGCTTTAACGTCCACGGCCTCGCTCTAAATTATTCACAGTCTAACAACGTCTTTTATTTTATTTTAGGCAACTTATTGGGGCATTGGGTATTAGCTATATGAACAATTATTCAAAAAAAAAAAAAACTATATCAACAGAAGCCCAAAATCAAAAGTAAAACTAAAATTTCACCCCCCAAAATATAAAATGAACTATTTTCATGCTCCATCAGGGAATTTTTAGGGTTGGGAATGAAAAAGAAAGTGGGGGAATATGAAAGGGAAGGCTAATTGGTGATAGTTAACTAGGTTAGGGCAAACTTGGCCATTGTCCTTTCAAGTTAAATCAACAAATTAATTGATATGGTTGAATTATTGCACCGCCACTTGTTTCACTTGAGAAAAGAAGCTAACTTGTCCTAAAGGTTGATGGAAAATTTAAGAACTTTTGGTGCAGTAAGTGATTGAAATGGAACCTAAGAAGATACAAGAGTGAAGCCTACATCATTTAATAATGTGGGCCACTAAGTTGCATCGGCCTTCCAACACCACATGGTAAAGGAAAGGCCGTCCGTAGCTATCCAATGGAAATGACAAATTTTAGCATCCGAGGTCACTTTGACTTCATATTCTTCTAATAACTATTAACATAGGCCAATACTAATTAAATGCTGATCTTAATATAAAACAGTAAGCTTTCAATCCTTTACTATTCATACACATGTCTAACACTCCTTGGACACTTTAATATTCATACAGGTATGACACTTTGATCCTCGAAACTAATGTAAAAAATTATCTAATGCATAACATTTCCGATATCTGACACCCTATATTGGGTCCATATAACATAGCTTGTGATAAAGCTGTATTACTCTTCAATCTTTCGGCTTTCACAATTTTAATTTTGTAGCTGCTCATGACAGCATGTGACCTCATTTTAATGTAGGGAATTTATCAAGAGAACAGAGAGAAAGAACTGGAAAAAGAACATCCATGTAGGAACTTCATATATAGACGTCTAAACGGATAAGATATGTATTCAACAGAAACCAGCTTTGCTTTGGAATGATGTGAATCACATATGTCTAATCGGGCAGGGAATTCAGACATGCAATTACAAGAGAATGAACCAAATGCAACAAAAAAACCAAAAACACTAAGTCCAGAAAACATTAATAACAGTCTCTACGAAAAGGATCATTTTCATTGATAGCATCCACGCATGATCAAACGGAACCAAGGAGACAAAACCAGTCACTGCATTAAAAGTTTGAAACTTAGCAAACACTAGAAACAGTCCCAAACATAAATCACTTAGTAAAACAATATAAGCCCTGTAGTAATGACAAGAAACTGATCGTTAAATTTGTTGCCTAGCTACCATGAGTACCGGCTCAAAAGCACTTCCTCTCAGTTCCTTTATGTTTTTACCCTTATGACAAATTTCTTACCAAGTTGACAATAACCCCAATTCTCTCAACCAGAATCTCTAAAACAATGGACGCTAATGAATAGCCATTAGAGCCCTTTGTTTGGAGCAAAGATTATTGGTGATGAAGTTAAAGATCCAGATAGGAACATCATTTTGCTAAATTATGAGCTTTGAATAGAAAAAGAACAATCAGCAAATAGTAAATAGTTTCATTCTTAAAATAATTTCAGATTTAAGTAAACAGTTACAAACAGAATTCAACAGAAACGAATCATTGTAAACTACAATTATCAGATGGTGCAAATCAAATATAAAGAAATAATTCAATTCTTCCACAACATACAGTTGAAGTTTTGCCTCACTTCAATTTTCTAAATGGAAACAAGTAACTCATTGATCAACAGCACCCCTTTTGAAGATAAGGTCTTGTAAGTTGATGGATTCCAGGTTTTACATCTTTGCCGCCAAGAACCGTTGAAAAGAAACACATAGCCCCGCCTGCAAAACCGCCACAATAATGAACAACGTAGCGAAGTTAAAAACGGAAATCTCATTTAAGTAATCAAAAGAAATAATGATATAAAACATACCCTTTTGGAGTTTGGACAGTTTCCATCCTTCTGTGTATCAAAATCCATCATCAAACAACATCAAATCTTTATCTTTTTAAACATCGATCTAAACCAAAACCAAGGGGTTTTCTAACATCTTTCTCTCGGATTTCTCATCATTAAAACTGATAACCAATTTTGACATATCGAATTCATTCGAATTTCTTCTTTTCCCGATTTCGAATATGTATTTTTTGCTGTTCTGATTCATTAGTTTCCGACTTTGCAAAACTCCCATAGACCTTGACTTGCTCAGCTTCACCAGCGGCGTTTTCCCCGTTACTCCAGCCCTTTTGTTTACCAATGCCACGTGGTCACCGTCCAATTCAATCTCTGTGGGTCCCATCTTCATCATCATAGCCGCCCCTCCAAACGAACCAACCGATTTCGACCTCACCACACGATCGCTAATCAAATCAGTGTTGAGATCTACATTCACACTCGATACTTTTCGGCTATTTCTCCGACTTCCACACCTTGAACCCCTTACCACCTCCTCGCTACCCTCAAACACCTGGTTCTTCACCAACGGCTTGTCCACTCGTTTCACGCGCCGCCTTAGATTTCTCCAAACAGGTCCCGCGTAAACTCTCTTCCTCACCAACTTCAAACATTCCACCACCTCGGCCACTCCGGGGCGTTTCTCCGCTGTGGACCTGACGCACTTAGCCGCCAATACGGCCAAACTCCTGATCACCTCCTTATCCACCGGTGGCCTGACACGACCGTCGCAAATTGCTGCGAAATCTCCTCCCTTGATCAACGGTACCGCCCAGTCAACTACCGATGGGGGACTGTAATTAAAGTCAATGGCATGTCTCCCACTGATAATCTCCAATAGCAAAATGCCGTAACTGAACAAGTCACTTTTAGTGCTGACGTCACTAGGTGCCAAATAACCCGGGTCGAGATACCCTAACGTCCCCGCCGGTGGGGTGCTCTTAACCCGTACATCCTCCACGTTTCCTCTTAATGCAAGCCCGAAATCACCCAACCTCGCGTTCCAGTTATGATCGATCAAAACATTTGACGATTTTATATCCCTATGGATTACAGGCGGGTTAGCCGAATGCAAAGCCTGAACTGCTTTTGCAACATGTAAGGCGAACCGTACACGCATGGACCAACCCGGCGGTCTAGAAGAAGAATGTAAAAGATCGTATAAAGAACCGTTGGGCATATATTCCACAACGATTAATTTATTCCTAGAAAGGGTATCGGAACAGTAACCGATGAGATTGACGAGACGAGGATCATAAACTCGGGAGAGAATCTCAATCTCGTTGTCTGCGGGACTGCTACAGTTTATTGTCGTCTTTTTAACGGCTGCGATTAACTTGCCATCGTCTAGGACAGCTCTGTAGACAGAACCGTGACTGCCTTTGCCTAGAAAGCTGTCGGAAGAGAAATCATTGGTGGCGGAAAGGAGATCAGTGTAGCGAAACTGTCTGATTTCAACGTTGTTTTTGGTTTTTCTGGGTTTGTTTTTCTTGGATTTTCCTCTATGACAATAATCCCAGTTGTATGGATCACAAACGGCCACGGCTGACTCTGCGTTGCAAGCTAAGTAACCCATGAGGGGGCTAGAAATGGAAAAGAAAAAGTGTTTGGTTTTTTCTCAGGTGGGTTCCGGAAGAGAAGTGGCAAGCGGCGTCGAATGGTGGGAACGGCAATGGAAAAAGGCCATTAGTAGTGAAGAAGGTTAGTGGCTCTAAAGTGTTTTATAAGTGTGTACTGATTTACAGCTTTGGGCAATCAAAGCTTGAAATTTTTGAAAAATTTTATACTTTATTTTATTCATTATTGATTTTCGCCATGCAAAAGTGGGAGACTTGGAGATGAATTTCTCGGGGGAAGGTTTAAAGCAGTGGGGTAGAGTGGGGTCCATATGTTTTTTTTATACTTTTTTCTTCTCACTTTTTTAAAAATATTTTTAAACCTTATCTTATTAGGCAAATTATTCTACCGTCGGTAATTTTTAATTAATTTTATGTTACAAAGAAAAATTCAGAACGTTAAGGTACCATCTATTATTATTCTCAAAATTAACATTGTAATTTAATCATTAAAATAATTTTATTGTTATAGTGATTTTATCACTTATGATTTTAAATCATTTTATTTAATTAATAATGATTAGTTTTTAAAAATTAAAAATTGTTATATTTGATATTATTGAAAAATTAAATATTATTTTATTTAAAAAATTAAAATAATCATATTATAATAGTTACATAACTTAATCATATTAGTAATATCTTATTTAAAATAAAATAAAATAAAATAATTAAATGAAAAAAAATTATAAATAAACTAATTTTATAATATAAATTTCTTTAAAAATCATTAAATTAAAAAATAAAACTAAATCTATTAAAATTGTAATAAAAGGAAAACAAAAAATATTATATGATATTTAAAAAAAAATACATAATTTTTTAAAATTTAGTATAATTAATGTTATTTTGAAAAAAAAATGCATAATATAAAATAATTATTGTTAAAAAAGTTTTAATTTTACATTAAATGAGTAATATTTATTATATTTGGTTTTATATATCATTTGGATGATAAAATTTTTATCTTTTTAAATAAAAATTAAATAATCTTTCAAAAGAATAATTTAATAACTTGTAATAATCTAAAATCATTCAATTTTTATAAAGATTAATCTCATAAATAATCTTCAACTTATAATAAAAAATTTAATTATACTTAAATTATAAATATATTAATTAAAATAATATTAAAAAAATTATTTACCTATCATATGTTATTATTTAAAGTTAATCATATTAAAATTAAATATTATGTTAATTAATAAATTAATAATTTAAATATTATATTAAATTTTTAAAATTATAAATATTTTATTATAATTTAAAAATAAATGGTCACATTAATCACCTAATTAAACATGACAATCTACCACCTGCGTGTAAATATCATGACTTCGAGAGATAAGGCGTACCAAACACCAAGTGACATCTGAAAACCTTGGAGCCAATAAGAGTTGGCTCTTTTGAGGCTTTCTTTTATTGGTTTGTTTTCATGTTCCTTTGACTGCTATCATTCTAAAAGCGAATAATCTCTTCGACATTTGGTGATTGATACGACTTCTCTTTCGTCGTTTTATGCTCGTTCGGTTTGATAGCATTTTTTAAGGTTGTAGATGCGTGGATGGCGCAAGAATCCATTGGCAATATTCAGTTAAGTTGTTAAGTATATCTCTTTATTATTATTATAATAACAGTATTCACTCAGAAGTCAGAATAATTGGTGAAATAAAGACTTTTGATTAACCATATCATTGAATTTTGATTAAAAAAAAGGGTGACTATCTTTTTCATCCTTCGAGGGTTAATTAATTTAGAAAACATATTCATGGCTTAGGTAAATTTGATTACGAGTTTCAAAGTTATGGAAATTTCATTCAAATTTGAAATTTAATTTAATTAATATATATAATTATTTTTTAAAATATGATATTTAAATTTTAAAATTTTAGAATTTTTTATTTTTTTAAGTAATAATCTTCTTTATATAAAAAAAATATATACCTTGTGCTGGTGAATTTTAATTTAAATCATTTATATTCTATTCTTAAAAAAAAAAAGGTAACGTGGGATTATCACCACTAGTACTTCTATTTATGAAATTAAAAAAAAAATTATTTAAATGATTTAAAGTCACGGTTCAAGTGTATTTATTTGAATTTATATGCACAAATATATAGTTTAATGTTGCACCCTACCTTCATTAAAATTAAAAGTTATTGCACATGATCGGCATTAAAAAAATTGTTGCAAATGACGTTTTTTGGTAGATTTGGTTTTCGATTTATTGTCATATTTTTTATTGCATTATCGAAAGAAAATAACATAAATTTATGTAAAGTAACCATTTCTTAAAATCAAATGAACATGGATAACTTAAAACTACCTTTTCCAAATATAGCATTGAACTTAATTGTATACAAGGGTTAGAACATACTTACTACTAGATCTATTAATGATTTGTGGTCTTCCTTTTCTTAAATGAAGCAAAACGATTGCTTCAAGCGATCATGGAAATTAATTATTGAAGTACCTATAACATGTTCAATTGATTAAATACAATAAAGGCAAATTTCCCATTATACTTTACTTCAATATTGAATTTTGCCACTCAATTTTTATTTTTATTGAATTTTGCGGTCGAACTTTAGTTTAAATAATTTGAAGATACAGTTAAAAAAAGAATATTCATTCTAACTATTTTCTTTTAATAATTAACTATAATAAATTAATTAATAAAAAATTAAAATTTAATGTAAAATTTTAATTTTATAAAAACCAAAGATCAAATTATTTTTCCCTTTTATTATTCCATTTATTGGTAATTGATAATGATATCTAAAGTTGATAACGGTTTAAATCGGATTGAATTTAGTTCGATATTTTTATAATATATAATATTATAAAATTTTAAAATTTAATCTAAACCTGAACAGACTTTTCATACAATCTGATTCGAATTAAATTTTATTATTTCAATTAGATTCGTCGGTTTTAAAATTTTTTTATTTTTTATATATTATTTTAATATAATTTTTTAATATTTTTAATAGATTTAGATATAAAGCAATTATTTTTATTTTATAAAAACTTAAAATATATATATAAAGAAATAAAAATATATATAATTCAATTTGATTTGAATTTTTTTGATTTTTCATTTCTTGATATAAAACTCAATTTAAATATAATATATATTTAATATTTGAATTTATCTGAACTGAATAAAAAAATATCTAACTTAAAGCAAATACTAAAATTTTAAATCAAATTTCAATTTTTTATTTTTTTCTCACCCTAGTAACATGGAATAATAATGATACTCTAAGAACAAATTTGACTACCGAACACCAAATCCGTCATATCCATCTCATTTTAAAGTTATTTTCATCTTGATATTTTTCTTCATTGTCATATCATTTTTATGTTTCTAATTTTAATTTAATACAGACTTAATATTAGATGAAATATTTTACAATTATTGAAAATTAATATTTGGAGGGAATATTCCTTCTTTTGTAAAGTTCTACAAAAAAATTATTAAAAAATAAAAATTAGTGACAAAATTTCTATAAAAAAATAAAAAAGTTTAATGGTAAAATTCAGTGAAACAACAGTAGAATGAATATCAAAGTATAGTGATAAATTTGTCCTTAATCGTTATTTTTCCACTCAAATTAACCTGTACCTTTAGTAATTGATAATATGGTTCAATCAATTAGTTCCCTTTTCGTCTTGACATTAAGAGATTTTGGGTTCCAGCAAAATGTAAGCCTACTAGCAAGATAAGTGAAAAAACAGGATATCCGATCGAAAACAACATGTTTAATTAACTCCAATTTCTTTTCACCAAATATGTATAATGTTGTTTAATCATTAAAGTTATAAATTTATGTTGTTTACCATCTGATGTATTTATTTTGACCCCTCCTGGCTATTCATGTGATGGAGCAAGGTCGGCTTTAGTTTGAATTGAAATGCCCCATTCCATTCTCCACCACCAAAATGTCACATCAGCATCACAGGGCCGCATCTTGTTGGCTTAAACCCCACTCGAAATGGTTGGGGGCTGTTGCTTCACTTTCGTAATAAACAGAGGATGGGACCTGTCTTCAGTTTTGACTTTTGACTCTCCCCAGCTGATCAGCGACCCCAAAGCGAAAGCCAAGTTCAAGGTCACCCTCTCTCTCTCACAAGACCCATGGCTTGATACAGCAAATGCTTACGCAAAAATAAATAAATAAATAAAGCTATCAAAATTAGAAAAACGTGGAAATGATGTATTTAAAAGGTTTGGTATTCAATCCAGCTAGAAGAGTGAGTTAAAAGAGTGGGGTCTTCATCTAACCAACACCTACTTTTTTTTAGGGAAATCAAAACTGGAAATGGGTTAACTAATTATTTATTCCGCATCACCGCGGTTTGCTGTTTTTGTCAAAATTGAATTGGAGCTCTTTTTTGGATTCAAAGGTTTTTTTTTTTTTTTACTTTAGCTTGGCCTCTCTCCAAATGATTTTCTTTTGGAGGTGAGACAGGTTGTGATTTGTAGCAGATTTATCTTTTTGGGTGGTCCTACAAGCTTTTCAAAATGCTCTCAAAGTCTCAATAATGTCTACAAAGCAGGAAGTCCAAGGGCGTTTACCAAAATTATTGAATTTTACAGACTTTGCACCTTCAATCATGCTCAATCATTTTTAACATTGAGTAAGTATTATTATTGATGTAATTAACTAGTAGAGAAAAAACTTGAGTTTTAATCGAAATGATTTGTTTTTTTTTTAAGTGGATTTCTCTATGATTAAATTCAATCTTCAATATTTTAAGAGTAAAAAAAAAAAAATGCTATAACATAATTGTTAGGTAAAAAAAATTCTTAATATAATTGAACAATCAAACCATAAATCATTCACAAAAGAGATAATAATTTAATATAATTTAACTCAACCAATTTATGTCTACAAATAAGAGAAAAAATTAATTAGTTATAAAAAATTACAAATAAAAAAATCATCAATACTCAATCTCGGATAATACCTATAAACTCTCACATTTTTTTATAATCTTATGGAGTATTTTTAATCAAGATAAAAACATATATTCATGTGTACTATACTTATGTGATCCTCTCATTTTTTTCTAATCCACT